TTATACCCCCCTTATAGACCGGCTTCGTGAATGAGGCCTACTAACGGTAAGACTAGCATTTTAATTATATATATATATATATATATATATATATATATATATATATATATATATATTAGTCTTGTAACATTATATTAGTATAGGGTTGAATTTTAAACTTTGTAAAATTCTAGGGTTTGAAATTTAAATTGTCCAAATTAAACTTTTAATCACAAAACTAAATTTCAAAACTTAAGGATTAGTTTTAAACTTTTCAAAACATAAGGGATCAAATAACAAATAATTTAAATTAACCATTTAATCTCATAATTATCCATATTTGATTTATTTAAATGTTTCTTGCCAAACAATTTACCAATTTAATTAAAATAATCAATTAATATCATATAAGGAAATTATTATTCAACTAATTGGCAAATATGTTTTGTTAGGTCAAGAATATACTCACATATATGTTAAAATTCAAATTTTATTGACCCATAAAGAGTAAGGCAAGTTTCCATAAGAAAAACAGCAAGAAATCCCGAAACTAGCTCCATCTGACGCTCGAACTTGCCGAGTATCACAATGGACTCGCCGAGTCCACTATGGAACTCGCCGAGTTCATCAGGCAGATGGACAAAAATCGAATTTTGCAATCAACAAGCAATCAACCAATGCATCAATTCAATAGAAACCAATCAAGGCTCTGATATCAATGATGGGTTTGAGCCATAAGAACTTTCCTATGTGCACATGCAAACCCTAATGCTTGGATCTAGGTTTCTCTAATTGAACATGCAATGTATCTAAGACTTTTATTAATAGATCTAGTGTAAACATTCAAATCATAACATATGAAATCAGATCTAAAGGAATACCTTGAATTTCTTGCTTGAATCTTCTTGTCTTTGGAGCTTAGAGTCACAATTGTCACTCCTCTAATGGCTTACAAACACCAACTAGCAAGAGGATGATAATAAAGAGAGAGAAGGGTGAGAAAATCGGCTCTAGGGTTTCCTGAGAAGCATGAGTGCCGATTTCCTCCACCCAATGGGTCTTTATATACTATGAGCTACTAGGGTTACACCTTAAACCCTAATTGAATAACTTAGGCCCTAAGAAATCCAATGATCCCTATAGACTAGGCCTTGGACGATTTCTAGGTTTCTCCAAACCCTAAAATTATCCACCCTCTTATCCATAAAGATTCATAGCCCAAAGTACAACTATCACACATTTGACAGTTTATGCCCCTTTATTCAATTAACCTCTTTAAGTCACCAAATTAATTCCTAATTAATTTATGACTTATATTAATCAAATAACAATATTATTATTCCTTATTCTCATAATATATTAATAATATTTCTTCTCTCATTATAAATCATCCTGTCAAGTTGCTGTGGTGAAGGCAACCCAAAAGGACCATGCTCAACCAGGTTGAATACTTGCCAAATATAGTTACAGCCTTAGACACTATTCCAACAGGCTAGAGGGTAATGGGGAGCACCGAAGTAGTGCTCAAGACAATAGAGAGGATCCAACAGGTCTGAAGTAGGCTTTAGACTGCTCAGAGTCAGCAGAAAAGTTATGCCGATAAGCGCCGATCAGACCTGAAGTTCCAGGTCGGGGATATGGTTCTCCTGAAGGTGTCGCCATGGAAGGGAATTATCTGATTCAGGAAACGGGGAAAGTTAGGACCCAGGTACATTGGATCGTTTAGGGTTATAGCCCGGGTGGGCAAGGTGGCGTATAGGCTGGATCTGCTAGCCGAACTCAATCAGATCCACAACACTTTCCACGTTTCCCAGCTGGAAAATTACCTGGTGGACGACTCAGCAGTGGTGCCCTTTGAGGACATTCAGGTCGATGGCAGCCTGAACTACATTGAGCGACCTGTGGCGATCCTCGACCGGAAGTCGAAGAATCTGAGGAACAAGAGAGTGGAACTCGTGAAGGTGCAATGGTAGCACCGAAAGGGCTCGGAATGGTCTTGGGAGCCGGTGGACGAGATGATGGAGCACTACCCAGAGCTGTTTCAAGAACGAGCAGCAGACTTCGAGGACGAAGTCTAAAATAAGTGGGGGAGGTTTGTAGCACCTGGTTCTTGGTACGCATTTCTTTTTATTTTTATCTAAGTATTTTGAATTTTTGGCCTTGGACTCGGCGAGTTGACGGACGAACTCACCGAGTAAAGTGGGATGGGATGCGGGATTTAAGTGATGGACTCAATGAGTCGGGTCCTGGACTCGACGAGTAGACGCTATCTAGACAAAAACCATAATCCGAGGGTTTGCACCCTATTTAAGCAATGTTATGACGACCACAACGTCCCTTATGCTCCGAAAACACCTCTCATTGAAACCCTAGTCGTTATTGAAGCAATCTAAGCGTTGTTGGTGGATTTTGGTGCTTGTGATCATAAGAAGGAAGGATAAAAGCTTGAGGAAGCAAGTAGAGACCAAGGGAACTCGAGTTTGTGCACCGTCTACAGCTCATTGAAGGTAAAAAGCGATAAACTTGCTCATTCATTTGTTAGATCCCTCATTGGGTAGATTTAGGGCTTTTATAAGCCATTTTTGGTCACCAACCATGTTTGCAAACATGGTTGGGGGTTAAAGCTTCTGAATCACATCATTAAAGGAGTCACTACGCAGATTTGGGTTGCTTTTGCACCCATGAAAGGTCCCATGCACCATAGGAGCTTGTTTTATGTCTTTTTGAGCTCAAAGTCCCATGCAAGCATGTAAAGTTTGTAACTTTACGTGCTAGATCGATTGTAGAAGCTTGGTTCTATATTTTGATCAAAGGTTGTACATCAGAAATCGAGGATTTAGAGTGTGGACGTGACCGACTCGGCGAGTCCGTTCTTAGACTCGAAGAGTCTAAGGCTTTGAGTCCCATATCTGTTGAGGGTCAAAGGAACCCAGTTGAGTGTTAGAAGGTTTGTAACCGGACAGAAAGAGTTACCTAATGCATTGGACGTGATTTTAGACCTGGAGTTCATGGGACTCGACGAGTGCTAGAACAAACTTGGCGAGTCCATGGCAATCTTCTTAAGGATGAAGATGAACTCGACGAGTTGTTCATCAACTCGGCGAGTTGAGGACAGAACTTGTTCATCAAATGAAGGTGAACTCGACGAGTTGTTCATCAACTCGGTGAGTCGGATGAGTTTCATGCGATGTTTATATGATAGAGGAACTCGTCGAGTTGACAGCCCAACTCGACGAGTCGGGTCATGGATGAGGACGAGTAAAGGGTGAGGGACTCGGCGAGTTGACTGCCCAACTCGGTGAGTCGAGTCAACTTGAAGTTGACTTTGACTAGACTTGGACTAACCTTGTTTAGGGTTGTACTTGTTGTGTGTTGACTTGAAAGTTGTCGTGTAGGGATCGAGGAGTCGAAGGGAGTCGACTTGTCCGCCGAGGATAATTCAAATATTGCACGACATTGAGGTGAGTTACCTTCCAGTAGGGGTGTGTCTAAGGCCACAATGTTGGCCCACCAAAAAGGGGTATTTAGAAGAGAATGGTCTTTGTGATAATTATCTTGGTCTGGTTATGTGTTGGTTATGAGATTTATCTGGATGATATGTTATGTGTATATTAGGGATTAGTTTCCGTAACAGTGGTCCTTAGGACCCAAGGGTAGGTCAGTACCCGGATATGCCTGACTGTATGTTTATATCGGTTGATTGTATGCTAATGGTAGGGGTGAAATAGTCCCTAGTTACCGGTTGAAAGATACTGATGACGGATACCGGTTGAAAGATACCGATGTTGATTATCGGTTGAAAGATACCGATGATGGTTACCAGTTGAAAGATATCGATGGAGGTTACCGGTTGAAAGATACTGATGAAGGTTACCGGTTGAAAGATACCGACGATATTGTATGGTATGCGGTATATGGGGGAACTCATTAAGCTTTGTGCTTACAGTTTTATTTTTGGTTTCAGGTACCTCTTCGTCGAAGGGGAAAGAGCCGGCAGTGTAGCAGCGCATCACACACACACACACTCACATGGTTTCCATAAGAAGTTTTTGGGTTTGTACTCTGCTTTTTATTACTTTTGACGTTATGGTTTGGGACACAACAATATGATTTTGTGACGTGTTGTTTATTTGACAATATTTTGGTAAAAAAATTTATGGAATTGTTAATTTAAAAATGAAATTTTCGGGCTTGAATTTTTGGGATGTTACAGCTTGTTTATAAAACAGTGGGGAGATTGAAGGAACGAGTGATGGAATTGATGGGAATACAACAGAGGTAAGAAACCTTTATTTCATCACCTGAAGTTGAGAAGGCTGAGCCACAAATGATGTCTAAAACTAAGGTAAAATGAGACAGTTCTCTATTTTTAAAATTGTAACAGGTGTACCTGAAGCTATTCCTGTAATAAGATCACCTTTGGTAGAATTATTGTGCGGAAGTGCTAGTGTGGGACAATCCACTTTGACTCGTTTTCATAGTTTACACACTTTTGTATTGCCGCTTCTTACTGCCGTATTTATGTTAATGCACTTCCCTATGATACGTAAACAAGGTATTTCTGGTCCTTTATAGAGAAGAGATAGCATAGGTACAAGGAATTCCCGGCATCTCGTAGAAAAAGAGTATAAACAAACAAAAGGCTTTTTAGAGTTTTATTTTTTATCATACATAATCATAATTACTAAAAAAAATTTGGTTCTTTTTACAAACTTGAGGTCGATAAATCCGCAAGTCTAGAAATTCATTTCGGACAATTGAACCTTCTCGAACTGTTTCATTTTAAGAACCAAAAATATTTGTGCCAAAATAACAGATGCTAAGAAGAACAAAAGGCCTTGTACACGTAATGGATCTTGAAGTACTATTTCTGCATCTCCCTGACCAAGGATTCAGAAGTGAAAGAAATCATTTTATCTACTAATAGTGGACAAATTGGCGTATTACCAAATCACGCTCTTATTGCCACATCAGTAGATATAGGTATTTTGAGAATACGCGTTAACGACCAATGGATAACGATGGATCTGATGGGCAGTTTTGCTAGAATAGGTAATAATGAGATCACTGTTTTAGTAAATGATGCAGAGAAAAGTGGTGACATTGATCCACAAGAAGCTCAGCAAACTCTTGAAATAGCGGAAGCTGCTTTGAGAAAAGCTGAAGGAAAGAGACAAAAAATTGAGGCAAATCTAGCTCTCCAACAGGCTAGGACACGGGTAGAGGACTAACTTTCTATTTTTATAACATCCTGTATCTTATAAAAGTTTAATCTTTATTTGGTTGGTTGATCAGTTGAGCAGCTGGCAAATACTAAAAGACGTGACTGAGCAAAAGAAAAAAGCAAGAGAGGTCTGGTGCAGAAGATGGACTTTCATCGATTGAAATCATGTTTTACAACAGTCTTCTATCCATTCTTGGCGTTTCTTATAATAGTTATTAGAGAATTCTCAAGTTCAATCTCATTATTATATGCAAAGGTCAAGATCTCCTTATGTGTGTATATTGAGTGTTATGAGAAGCCTTATTGACATTATTTGGTAAATAAGCAAAAAGTTAATTACTATGACCCTGGTTCTTTTCCCCCCATTAAGTGTTGTCTTGGATGAAGTGCTATATGATAAATGATGTTAAAAACATATTTGAAAGGTGAATAAGAGGAAACTTGTTAAAAGTTAAGAGTTGATAAGGATAGTTAAATTCACATATTTTGTAAGGATAATTAAATTCACATGTTTTGAATCATTTAGACTACATGTTTCTCTCCTACATTATTTTTGTTTCATTACTTTGTAGGGTGGAGATGATGCTCTTAACGAAGCTACAAAGGAAGGGGGAGATACAAATACATTAACTGTTATGGCGCCTATTGCTTAAAAAGAAAAGAGAAATAAAGCTTATTATGTGGACATGTGTAACGACAGAAAAATCACAACCAATTTAAGCTTTTCAAAAACAACCCGATTTCATTAAATTATTACAAAAAGGTTTTCAATATAATTTATTTAGAGTATTCCCAGAATCACATCACAACATAAACATGAGGAGCGGTACGATCACGCCTTCGCCTTGCCACGGTCTCCTGAAGAACCTGAAAAAACATTAAACCACAACTGTAAGCCCGAAAGCTTAGTGAGATATCCCCAATATACCAACCACACATACGCCCTTCCAGGCCACGACCTTCCGGTCCAAATCATAGTGCCTTCCGGCCCATAACATAATAACATACATATCATAACAGAACACAGAACAACCATGCACTTCGGGTCTACTGTGAGACTGGTCCGCCGCACCGGCCAAGAGTCCACCTGGTCCACCCTCTGAGTCTAGCCATGTACATCGAGTCTGCAGTGTGATTGGTCCGCCCGCACCGGGCCTTCAATCCACCTGGTCCACTCTCTGAGTCTACAGCATGACCGGTCCGCCCGCACCGGGCCTTCAGTCGGTCTGGTCCACTCTCTGAGCCTCAGCACGTCTGGTCCGCCCTCTTAGGGCCTACAGCCTATCCGGACCGCTCGCTGGGCCTTCGGGAAAACCGGTCCGCCCTGGGTGTCTTGACCTACAGCACAAAGCAGGACCCGCCTCAACCCATCTCTAATCCAAACAACCATGTGCACATAAACATACAATCATATAACAATTCACAGTCAACAAGCCGATCAAACAGATCACATAGCATATCATCATCCTAACCAGGATACCGACCTGACCGGTCACTAGCATATACCATCCTAGCTACCAGGATGTGAACATATCAAAGCAGTAACATAACAACAAATACCCGGATCTCAATCCGATAAAGGGCCGGCCTTGGTGCCTTAGACCCTGTTGCTATAGTGAGGATAACTCACCTCGCACTGCCGAAAATCTGAACTGAAGAAGCAGACTCAATCTGGAACTAGCCAACATAGCACAAATAACATTAGGCCAAACACAATACTCCTCCAAGGTAAATTGACCATTTTACCCTTAACTCAATCCGGCCCAACACTAGGTAAGCTCCCAAGCCCACCAATGGCCCAAAGTCCAAAAGTCCAAAGCAAAGCCCACTATTGGCCCAATTTACTAAATTGGGCCCACCTCACCAAATGGGCCTAAACTCAAGATCCATAGCAACCAATGGGCCCACAACACTCTAACCATAATGTCCAGTCACGGCCCAAAATCCAGCAGCCCAAATAACAGCCCAATCCCTAAGGCCCAAAATGAAAAACCCAACAGAGGGAGTACGCTGGGCGTACCCTCCCTGGTACGCTGGGCATACACGCTGAATCGCGACTGAGGATCGGGGCACTGACCCGCTACGCGGGGCGTACTACCATGTTACGCAGGGCGTAACTTCGCTACTCATTAAGTCCTCATAACTTCTTAATGGCTTAAGCTCTTAAGCCCAAACTTCAGATCCCTTGGCCAAATATGCCTAAGATTCATAAATTCTCAAATTTTATCACTTGGGACGTCCATAAAGCTCTTAATCCAAGGTCTTAATCCATTAAGACCTACATATCTCACACATGGAACAACCACAGCCCTTGGGACCTCATTTTTCTCACTCAATACCTCTCCAAAGGTCTGAAAGGACAGATAATCTCGGCCAACTCAAAGCATGTATCAATATGAGGACTTTTGGGACAAGAATGATGCCAAAACTTCACAACACTTAGATCTATGCAAAATAATTGACAAGCAAGAAGCTTTATACCTCAAATAAGCTCCAAAAGATGATATCTTTCCAAATCTACAAGCTCCAGCCACTCCAATCCTTCTTTGACAACTTCCACTTTCTTCTTCTAGCCTCTCCTTTGCCAAAACAAGCTTTTCAAGGCCAAACACACCCAACAATGGAGGTGGAACGGCTATCTAGGGTTTTTGAGGTTAAGGGAGAGCTTATGGAGGCTAGGGTATGAACCAACATGTTCCTTATATAGTGGCTGACCCTAATTTTAGGGTTTTAGAACTCTGAGAGTACGTTGGGCGTACCTCTAGTACGCTGGGCGTACCTCTAGTACGCTGGGCGTACTCAACCTTGCACCCGCGTCCACTTACGCCCTTACACTGGGCATAATCCCAGCTTACATTGGGCGTACTCGGCGAGTCCCCAAATTTCATACTTGGCCCTCATTTTCCACTTTTCCCACAAGATGACCAAAATACATTTCCCTTCAATCCCGGGAACTCACAATTAAGTACTCTTAGGAACGGGGCGTTACAACATGATATCTAAAACAAGGAGGTGCCCCTTAATAGCAATGTAGTATTAGGTCATATAGTTAGGGAAAGCCTCTTAATAACAATGTACAATCGGATCCCCTTTATACCAATTTTTTGACATGATGTTATGCATGAAATTGATTGTTTTGGTATATATTTGTTTCCATATTGTTGTATTACGCGTAAATGAGTATTGTAAAGATGCGTCGTAAATATATATCGTAAATGGTTGCTGAAGTTTATGACACGCAAATGCGTGTCATCTTCATTTATGACAGGGACTTTAATGATACGCAATGTGCGTTGTAAACGTGCATCGTAAGGTCACGACACGCAAATGCGCATTGTCTTCCTTTATGACAGGGGCTTCCTTGATACGCATTGCACGTCGTAAATGCGCTTCGTAAATGCATGTCATAAATTCGCGTCGTAAATGTGCGACGTCTATAGACGACGCGCAAAAGCGTGTCATCTCTCGTTATGACAGGGCTTTCCTTGACATGCATTTGCGCGTCGCCTGAGCGTTTTACGCCAGCATTACACGTCGTAAAAGGCTGTTTTTCTAGTAGTGTCTGTGGTTAAATAATCTACTTCTTTCAATCGTTTTGTTTGGGAACCAATTTTTGTGAATCCTTGGTCGTATGTGCTCTGACGATTTCTTTAAAGCGATTGGGTGTTTGGCAATTTCGACTACCAGTGATGAATAGATAAATATCAGATGAACATAATAGGGTTGTGGTTTTATTGGACAAAATTCTAATGTTTGATCTCACTGGGTATTGGAAAAGTGATGTAGGGAACGATTGAAATCAGAATTTGATCTTAATCGACTTAATTTGAGCAGATGTTCTTGGCAGTCAGTGGAAAAAGTCAAATTTGAATTTGTGAATTCTTTGGTACGAACTGTTTCACATGTGAATGGTTGGGGATTTACAACTTGCCAATGAAATCGAGACTCAATTGAGATGAACAATGGGCTAAAACAAAAAGTCAGAATTGACTGAGAATCGGGGTGAGCCTCAAACGAAAGAACTTACCTGCGAATCTTTAACCTGTGAATCTTTGTTGACCGTGATTCACAACAAATCAGTGCTTGGAATTGGATTCGGAGCGAGAGGTCATAGTTTCGTGGTTTCCTTGGTTTGCAGCGAACCTGTTGACTAGAGTTCACACCAAGTCTGTAACGATATGGCTTGGGTTCTTTATAGTGATCTGGCTTGCAATCGACTACGAAAGGCCCGGATTCCCATCTTCATTCTCGGAACGAAAGTATAAATTTGGGGTTATTGGGTTTGTTGTTTAGTCGTGAGTTGTGTCACTGAGTTCGTCAACCGCTTGTAAAAGGTGGAAGATGACTCATGTTACACTATTGGTACCTGTAACTTCAGCAAATTGACTCTTTTGGTCCCTGTTGTTTTCACAGCTTGGCGTGTATGGAACAATTCCAGAAACTGTTACAAATGAAGGGGAATATGATGCAAATTTATTACTTTAATCCTACAATTTCAGCAAAGTGACAGTTTCAACCAATTTTTCGTAAAGTTTACAAATTTGAGGGCTGGTTAACAGTTTGGATTTTTTTATCACACATATTTTTTCGTGAACAGAAAATTCAGGATTCCATTAAGTCTTGGCGGTTCAGAAAGTGGTTTTTCAAGATAACGTCAAATTTTTTCGACTATTTCGGATTTTATACTTCATTGTTTATATCATTTTCTTACAGAGGAGCATAGTAATTTTTTATCCATTCAAGATCATTCTCATGACCATTTGAAGGCTTTATAATCACGTTTTTTATTATATATCAGGGGAGAATTTGGTATGACCATTCGAAATTCGATTTGTGACTTCTCAAATTTGAAGATTTTTGATGAAGCTTGTGGTAGAATTATGAAGGTAGATTTTACAATAGCAGTTCGTCATCGGGCTCTTCTAAAGCTTTTATAGAGAAGTATCTTTTATAGTAGCAATTCTTCATCGAGCTCTTCTAAAGACTTGTTATATCTCCGACTTCTGGTATTTTCTTGATCAAGTGGCGTTACAAATCTTAAAATTTGGGTTTTTACATGATAATTTTTGGTGGCATCATTTGCTTATTTGAAGATCATTATTACTTGGAGGGGGAATTCTTTAAAGACAAGAAGTGATTCGTTTTCTTAATTTTTATGGAGGGTTTGGCTTTATTGAAGATCTTTGGGATTACAATAGAAAATGAAGTTTAAAGACATTACTTTAGTTCTTGGTTTATATATATATATATATATATATATATATATATATATATATATATATATATATATATATATCCTAGAACCCGTTTTTGAAGACTATTGAAGAATCAAGATTCGTGGATTGCTTCAAATATTCCTCGTTGCGAGATCATTTCATATTTGCTAGATGCTTGTTTTGGAAGTTGAAGCCTTTTCATCGATTCCATACTTTAAGGGGGTGATTGTAGGGTTTCAAAGTACTCCATGGATTATGACAATGGGCCCCCTTGATGAAGTGTAGGTTAAAAGCCCAAGACTTGTCTTTTCCCTATAAATGGTCATGTATTATTCATAATTAGGGTTAAGAGTAAGGCAAAATGCAGCCGCCACGTTGTGAGGTTTCTTGTGTAGAGTTAGATTATTTAGTCTATTCTGAATGTGTAATCTATTCCACATTTTTTAAA